CATTTATATAGTGCTTGCTATGTGCCAAACACTCTGCTAATTGCTTTACAATTATTATCTCATCTGATCCTCACAACAAGCTTGGGAGAGGTAGGTGCTATTATTATCTCTATTTTACAGGTGAAGAAATGGAGGTAGACAGAAGTTCAGTGACTTGCCCAGAGTCACACAGCTAGTAAGGATCTGGGGCTGCATTTGAACTTCGACCTTCTTGACTCCAAGTCCAATGCTTTATCCACTTTGCCATCTAGCTGCCGCATAGTAGGCACTTAATAAATGCTTACTGAATTGAATGTGGGCTATATGCCTTCTACAGCTGGGTAAATCACTCAGTGCTTAGAATACTAGTTGGTATGTAGTTCCCTCTGTCTAACCTTCCTTGAACAGAGACACTTAAAAATATTATTATCTCCATTTTACAGATGAGAAAAATGAGGTGAAGAGACTCTCCTAGCGTTACACACAGCCAGGAAGTTTTGGCTTGAACCCAGGTATTCTGGTTCTAAATCCAGGGCCCTTTGGACTATACCACATGGTGGCAGAATTAGCTATAGCTGAGCGGTGGCTACCAGCCTGGGAGTTCTAACGTGGGCTATTCCATGGCTGATATTACAGTCACTCAGGCTGCCTACTCCTGAGGCCTGGAGAAGTCCATCACCTCCTCATAGGCAGGTAATGAAACCAGAGCTACATCACTCCAAGAGAGTAAGACTGCCTTTTCCTCATAGTCCACTGGGGCCCAGAGAAAACAGGCATGGCTGATTCTACCTCACATAAAATACTCCTTTGAGTCAGGAGACAGGACTTCTCAGCGACTCAGTTTCTACATCTATGAAATGGGGATAACTGTATCCATTCCTACCTGCCTTCCAAGGACATTGGGAGGACAAGTGAGATAAATTTCAAGCTGTCTCAAATGTTAGCTTCTTAAGGGCATGGATTGTTTTCATGTTTTGTGCCCAACACAAATACCAGCTGGAGTAGATCAGAATCTCTACTGTTGGGCTCCACCCTACATCTCCAGTCTTATTTCACACTGCTCTTCTTCATACTCTCTCCCTTCCAGCCACTTTTATCTACCAGCTAGCTGCTCCCTGAACTTCTCTTGCCCTCTCCTGCCTCTGTATACTTACTGAAACAGGCTGGCCTCCACTCCAGGAACAGACTCTCTCCTCATCTCTCCCTGCCTGCTGGAATCCTCCAGGAAGCTTTTTTTGATAACCCGAGAAAATTCTGGCTGGATCTCTTTGTTTCATCAATATTCTATTTTGTATCATACTTATGTGCGTACATGTTGTCCATCCATCCTCCCCCACTCTTCATCACTGCCTTGAGGGTGAGGACTTTTTTTATTCTTAATATCTCAGTGCCCAGCAGAGGCACTGGGATGTTTCTTTGAAAATTGTTTGAAAATGTTTGTTGAATTGAGCTTAAATTAATGTGAAAACCCTATACAAAAAAAAAAATCCATCCTACATAAAGCCAATGGGTTAATCCATACCTCCTGAATTCCATTGACAAAGAGTGCTGAGCTATGTACCTCCAAGCTAACATCACTGATTTCATGAGCACAATTAATCATCACATTGTTAATGCCCAAACCAGTAATGTCATCGTCAGGTCATAACTGATAGAATACACTTGCAAAATGGATTTCCTGTCCCACATTAATAAAATGTTAGATAATGAATCCCATGTAGGCACAAGAGACTTGTTCAGTGAAGGCAAAAGATCGGGCTGCCTATTCCATATTTTCCCTCTTGTCAGCTACTGGCCCCCAGGTCCATCTCCTGCCATTAGTGAGAGATGGGATTGTTTTCCTCCTAGGGGGCAGGCCATACTGTCTGGAAGAGAAGGCAAGGCTCTAGAGCCAAAAGGTATATATAAATAGACAATGGGATTGTACCCCAAATAAATTAATAAAACCAAGCTATTTACAAAATGTTATATATACTTTAACAAAATAGGAACAATAACTAATGATCTACTGGGCCCCATTCTGATCTCTACGACTTCATGAACTGGCAGTTTTTATAAGGCCATAATCAATACTTAGGCTGGCTTTTGAAGCATCATTTTGGATAAATCTTTCTGGGGTTCTTCATAGCCTCTATATTTCTCACTTTTAAGGGCACAATTTAATCGTCAGTTTCCTGGCTGTCTTCTTGTCTTTCCTACCCATCTCTCTTATTCACTGAATTTTCAGACCTAAGAGTTCTAAGAGGTTGGGCATAGTCCAATATCCTCCCCTTTATGGCATCCCTGACAGCTGGCCATTAGCTTCCCTCTCCCTTCATACCTCCAGGGATGGGAGCTTACTACCTCACAAGGAAGGACGTTGTCTTTATAATTCAGGTATTTACAAAGTTCTTCATACTGAGCTGAAATCTGCCTCCTTGTAACTGCCATCCATTGGTTATAACTCTGCCTTTTGGAACTAGACAGAAAAATCCTAATACCAGTCTAAACAGTCCATTCTGTGGTTTAGCATGGCAAGGTCTCCCAACATTCCAGTCTTACCTCCCCACTATTCTTTTTCAACCAGACAGTACTATCTGCTGTTTCCTAAACACACCTCATGGTTCCTTACCTTTGGGTCTTTTCTCATACCATACCCTTTTTCTGAAATGCCCTCCCTGTAGTTCATAACTGCCTCTCAAAAATCCTACCCACTCTTTAAAGCCCAATGCAAATGCTACTGCCCTCATGCAGGCTTCCCAGGTTACTCCAAACAGAAGTAATTTCTCCCCATCTGTATCACCCATGTGGCATCATCTCCCCTGCTAGACTAGAAGTTCCTAAAGGACAAAGCCTATAGCTTATTCATTTAAGTGCCGCCCCACCCAAGTATACAAGCATGGGTTCAGGTGGGTCCAATGAATGTTTAGCTTTTATACACGGTTTGAGGAAATTACTCATTTATTCTCCTGAATCAGGCAATTAGGCCTCATCCTGTTCATTTCTGTTCTGCCTAACTTATGGGTGATACAAGACTTAAGGCTGGAAGAGACCTCAGAGATCTCCAAATCTAGCTCCCTCCTTTTAGAGAGAAGGAAGCTGAGTCTCAGAGAGGGGTAGGGACCTGCCCATGGTCATACACTGATAGACTTGGAAAGGATTGGTGGCTGTGCCCCAAGGGCTCACAGCTGGCCACAATTGTACATTTTCTCTGTGACTACAAAGCGTCAGTGTGGGTCTCATGATGTTACGAAGTAATCTGTGGAGGGAAAAGGCCTGGTTAGGAACTGGCCCTTGGGTGTTAGTGACAGGGTGTGTTAAGAGAGGTTTGAAGCGTATGGAGGCTGGGACTTGGAATTATTTGTGATGGGAACTAGGGAGAAAGAGATTAGGTAGTCAGCTCATCACATCTGTGCAAACTGTGAGTCTGTGCAAGTGTAAGGAGGGATGGGGGTGGTTGGTGTGAAAGCTGGCGGGGGAAGAGTCCTTAGAGGAAGACTCTTGTGTCCTAGGATCTTGGAAAGAGTTAGGACTGAGATTGCTGCCCTCATTCCACTTTGAACCTTCTAGGAAAGCTGTGTGCTGCGCTGGGGATTATGACAACAAGGCTAGACAGGGCAACTAGGTAGGCATGCTGCGTCAGGTGCCTCAAGCCTCCCAGGGTCACATGACCAATACATATGTGGGGCAAGATTCAAAGCATTCCATCCAATTCACTATGCTGCTTTATGGGGTGCCTACTATATACAAAGCACCATGCTAGGTCAGGTAGGAAATGGGAGGAAGCTCAGAAGCTGCCTGTAGATACCATCCCAGTGTAGCAGCTGAGGGCCTGCTTTAGATTTCTCCTGAGCCATGAGCATTTTGGAAAGTAGTGACAGAGTCTTTATCTATTTTGAGCTGAAAGTGATTAGCACTTTTGGAAGAGGGTGCTTTAAATTGCTTTGCTAATCATGGTAAATCAAGCCAGGAATGGCATTAAAATAACATTATCTCAGACATAGGTATGGAGTTACCCATTCAATCAACAAACACTAATTAAGCACCTACTGTGTGCCCAGCTTGGGGTGAGGTGCCCCCTGACTCCTAGAGCTCCCAGTCTAGTTAGTGGATCAGCTACAAACATCGGACAGCTCTAGTGTATACTAGACTAGAGACTGAGTGTAACAGAGAGCGCCAAATGGAGTATTAAGAGAGCTTAGATGGGGAAGATGGTGTGCTAAGCAATGAAATGCTCAGTTGGGCTAGCAATCCCTGCCCCCTATCCAAGGTGAACCTGGGGCCCAGAGAGCCAGCAGGTAGCCAGCTTTGGTGTTCTAACAGCCTGGAAGTCAATGGTGGGCTGAAAGGCAGAAGGGTACAATGGAAAGAGCCCTGAAGACAGAAGAACTGGGATCTAAGTCCTGGCTTTACTATTGCTTAGCTGACTTGTCTTAAATGAGTCACATCAGTTTTCTAAGCCTCAGTTTCCTTATGTGTAAAATGGCCAAAATACTACTCATTGATGGTGGCATGGACAGAGTACTGGGCTGAAGTCGAGAGATCCAGTTCATATCCTGGCTCTTAACCCCAGGTGTGTGACCCTGGCCAAGTCCCTTCCTCTATATGAGCTTCAGTCTTCCCCACTAGAAACTGGGGATGATGATATTTGTAATATTGTCATAGCATCACAATATTAGTCTTATATTTAATCTTAATATCATGTAAACTTGTAAAGTGCTTTACAGACATTATCTCATTTGATTCTTCTAACAATACTGGGAGGAAAGTGCCACAAATTTTAGCACCCTTTTAGGGGAATAAGCTAGGAACCTGATTTTGCAGATGAGGAAACTGGGGCTGAGCACCGTGTAATGAATGGCTTCGGATCTCACAGCGAGGGTGTGAGGGGGAATTTGAAGCCCCATCCTCCTGCCTAGACGGCCAGCACCCTGCCCACTGCACCGCTGCCCCTGCCCCTCACGGGGCATTTGGGAGAAAATGCTTTGTAAACCTTAAGTACTAGAGAAAGGTGAGCTCCAATTATTAGGAAGAAAAAATACCTGGGCCAGGCCGAGCGGCAGAAACCTGTGGTCGTGGCCGGTTCCACGCTGCTTCCTCAGCCCCAGAGAGCCTGAAACTTACTTCTGGTCAATCTAGTTGAAAGAAGATAAGAAAAGAAAAGAAAGGAAAAACCCCGACCTGCCTGTGGGGGCAGCAGAGGCAGAGATCTGTCCTCTCAGCCCTGAGTGGGCGGGGCTCTCAGCCCAGGCCCTGGCAGCGGCTGAGGGGCCCTGGGCACGTGCCGGGGAGGTCCCTGGGCAACAGCAGTAGGGAATGTTGCCAAGGGTGAGGTAAGAGAGGGAAAGAGGAAGGTGGGGGAGGAAAATGAGGGGGAAGGGGAGGAGGAGAAAGATGAGGAGGAGGGGGAGGAAGATGAGGGGAAGCGGGAGGAAGATGAGGAAGGGGAGGAGGGGGGGCAGGAGGGAGACCCCAAGTCAGGCCCAGCACCTCAGGGTGAGCAGGAGAAAAGGAGAGCCAACAGACAGTCCCCAGTAGAAGCGCATTTCAGGATCCCGGTGAACCTTGCTTTGCGCCTACAATATGATCACAGCATTTTAGAGCTCTAAGAGGCCACAGACTTGGCTCTCTTAGTGTGTTCCCCTTATTTTATGGGGGGAGGGAGGACGGAGGCCCCTAGAAGGGGACCTGACTTGTCCAAGATCACTCAGGTGGTACCAAGTCATATACAAATGGTGTGTTGTAGAAAGAATACTGGGTTAGAAGTCAGAAATCAAGGCTTAAGGTCCAGCTCTGCACCAGAGGGGCTGTGTGACTTTGAGCAAGTCCCGTCCAGCCTGCCTCCCGGTTTTGGGTTCTCTTTGTAGATCACAGAGAATCTCAGAATCTCAGAGGTTGAAGGGCCCTTAGCCTGAATAGCAATCCCACCTTGAACACCCCCAACAAGTGGTCATCCAGCTTGTAAAATGAGAGGGCAGTTTGATCTCCAGGAGCCCTTCCACTGCTATCATCCAATATTCTAGTTCTAACAGTAGAGGCCCTTCCAGCTCTGACATTTGGTGACTCTGTGATTTTTTTATGAATCAAATTCCATTTTAAGTGCACTGAGTTATGTGTGTACATGTCTTTGTGTTTGTGTGTGTATGTGACTACTTAAAGGAAAGTTTTTCTCTTCGATAACGCATAATTCAACAACCATAAATTGTCGTTGAAAGGATTTGTATTTTCAGTCTTTACCCCCTCTAGCTACCAGATGCTCCTCAGGTTCACTCTCTGCTGTGCAGAGTGAGCTTTCCACCTTGTTTTCTGAAAACCACCTTTTCTAAGCTGCCAGAGGGACCTTGAGTTCTATTACACGGAGATTAGGGCCCCAGAGCCTTGCAAAGCTCTAAGGTTGTAAGCTTTTGAAGAGGCAAGGAAGTATAATAGCAAGAGGACTGGATGTGGAGTTAAAGATCCTGGGGTCCAGTCCTGGTTCTGCCATTTACCTGTGTGACCTTAAGCAGGTCACTGATCCTCAGTCTCTTCATTTGTAAAAATGAGAGGGATTTTGCCTGGATGACCTTTCAGGTCCCTTCCTGCTCGGAATCCATAATCCTAATTGTTTTATGGTTCATCCTCTTGTAGCAGGCTGCTAGCCTTGATGCCTTGATAATAATATCACTCATTTCGGCAAAAGCATGTTCTTTCCCAACTGTTCTGGTTGGGAAGTATTATAAGTATTATTGTCCACATTTTACAGATGAGGAAACTGAGGCTCAGAGATACGATGTGACTTGCCCAGGGTCACAAAGCTAGTATTAAAGACAGCATTCAAATCCTGGTTTCCTAATTCTAAGACTCACTGATTCATAGAATGTCAGAGTTGAAAGGGACTTTAGAGATCATCTAGCCCAAGGGATCTGCACCTGGGGGTGGTGAAGTTGTAGGTTTTATTTTTTAAATATTCTGCTAACTGCATTTCAATAGAATTGGCTTCCTGTGTAATCTGAGCATTTTATTTTGTGCATTTAAAAACAGAATTCTGAGGAGGCCCAGATAGTTCCAAGGGGTCCATGACAAAAAGTATTTTCTAGATGAGGAAAGAGACCCAGATAGGGGACAGATGGGTTTGAATTCACAGATTAAATAGCAGAGCTGAGATTTTAACCCAGGTCCCCTAACTGCAAATCTAATTCAATATGATGCCATTCTTTTTTGAAGGGCATACTGTTTAGGGGGATTCTCCCTTTGCTTTAGAGATGGAGGAAGGCTATGGAGAGGACTAGTTTGTCTCAGCTAAGGCCACCAAGCTGGATCTGGGAAGAATTGGGACTAGAATCCAGGTCTTTCAACCCTAATTCCAACTTCTAGGAACTTACCCAAAGAATGCCCTAGGGGAAAGGTGTTCAGGATGAACAGTTCCCTTACTGCAACCAATTCTCATTTCAGTAAATATCCCGGAGGATTTACTGAGTCAGCACAATGTAAAGTCAACTGTTGTGGTACAACAGAGAGAGCCCTAGATTTGGAGCCAGAAGACCTACCTAGGCTCCCAGTTCCTCAGTTTCCTCGACTCATTCCACTCAGTCACACACAAGGAAGGTCCCACTGTTGATATATCACCATCACACACAAGTGTTCCATTTCCACAATTAAAAATTCTGAAATTCCTGTGCCTGACTGGTACATCCTATCATTTTCTCTCTCCCTACACATCAATTCCTCCTAAACCTCTTCTTCGTCCTCAGCATGACTTCCAGTCCCTTCTTTATCCCTCAGTCCACCACTCTTGCTCTAGTTTCACTTTACAGTAGACACCATAGATAATCAATTCAATATTATAGTGTTCCCAACTTTTTAATTCCTTGACCCCTTTTTCTATTATTGCTCATGGCTTGTCAACCCTCTGCTTCTGCTCATGTACTGCTCAATGGTGCTGGAGGAAGGCACCCAAACCTTGCTGATTGGTTCTACTAAAAATTTATGTTATCTAATTTCAAGTGGCCCCTCACTGTAGCAAAGCCTTTCTTTTACTCCTCCCTAATGAATTCTTTGTCACAGTCTCCAAGGAGGCTGTTCCAAATCTCTTCTCCTCTCAAGCTTCTATATCACCCTTCCCCAAACTCTCTCAGCATTCATAATTTACTGAGAAAACAGTGGCCATTCTCCATGTCCCTCTTTTCATCTCTATTTCTCAAAACTTCTTGACATCATCCTCAATTTGTTCCTTCTTAACTTTGGTCTTAGATGAAAAAATGGCCCTTCTTGCCAAGGCCAATCCCTCTACTTGTCCCCTTGATCCCACCTTCTACAGAAGACTGCCCCTATTATCAGCTCCTCATCACCACCATCTTCAATCTTTCCCTATCTACTAGCTCATTCCCTGCTGCCTACAGACATTCCTAGGTCTCCCTCCATCCTTAAAAAATCCTCACTTGATCCTACCATCCCCTCAAGCTACCTTCCTATATTTCTCTCCCTTTCACAGCCAAACTCCTAAGAAAAACTGTCTATACTCATGGCTTCTATTTCCTCTACTCTCACTCATTCTTAACTCCTTGCAACCTAGCTTTCGACTTCATCACTCAAATAAAACTGCTCTTTCCAAAGTTCCCAATGATCTCTTCATTGCCAAATCATGGCCTTTTCCCAGTCCTCATCCTTCTCAACCTATCTACCACATTTGACACTGTTGCCCTCCCTCTCCTCCTGGATACTTTCTCCTCTCTGGGTTTTCTTGTGCTACTGCTCCCTCTTGCTTTTCCTCCTACCTATTCAACTGCTCTTTCTCAGTCTCCTTCGATGTTCCTGTCCTCAAATGTGAACACAGCCTAAATCTCTGTCCTAAGCCCTATTCTCTTTTTACTCTGCAACCCCTTGGTGACCTTACCAGCTCCCATGGATTTAATGATCACATCTATATCAGTGACTACCAGATCTACATATCCTGTCTCTTTCCTGCTCTCTAGTCTAACATCACCAACCAGTTATTGGAATTTACAACTGGGTGTCTTCTAAACATCTAAAACTGAACATGTCCAAAATGGAACTTTGTAGTTTTTCCCCAAAACCCAGCCCTCTTCTAGAGTCTCTATGCTGTTGAGGGCACTACCATCCTTCTAATCACCCAAGTTTACCACCTCAGAGTCATCCTCAACTCTTCCTCACCTCATATATCACATCACTTACTAAGTCTTGCCAATTCCAACTCCACAATAGCTCTTGTAGCCATTCCCTTCTCCCTGATCACATAGCTACCATGCTCAGATCCTTATCATTTCTCACCAGATTACTGAAGTAGCGTCTTCCTTAGTCTTCCTGCCTCAAGTCTCTCCCCTCTCCAATGCATCCTGCACACAGCTGCCAAGGGGATACTGCACAACAACAGGCCTTGACCTTCTTACCCCCGTGTTCAGTAAACTGCAGTGGCTCCCTATTTGCTTTAATATCAAATCCAAACTCCTTCACAGCCTGGTTCTATTTCCCATCTCTGTGACTTTGCTCAGGCTGTCTTGCCTTATGTCTCTTGTCACCTCTGCCTTTTTGAAGTGGGCTAAGAACTGGACCTGAGATTTCACTGGTATGGGAAATTCCTAGATGAGGAAACTCCCTCTACTAATGCAGACTGGCACCCTCTCTGCAAGCATAGAGTCACAGAAAGTTGCCCAGGGCACTGAGAGGTTCAGTGACTTGTCCAAGGTCACACAGCCAGGATGTGTCAGAGGCAGGACTTGAACCCAGGGCTTCCTGGCTCTGAGGCCAGCTCTCTAGCCATTCCTGCCTCTCTTCGAGACTACTTTCAAATCTCAGTTCAAATGTTACTTCATACATGGGGCCTCCTGACCTAGCCCTGGACTCCCTACTCCTACCCCAAACTTCCTGCTTCTTCTTAGCCCCTTTGTGCTTGGCACTCTGGAGAAATCCAGGCTCCTGACCCAGTGAGGCCTCTGGTTTAAGCTAGTAAAGCATCCTGGTTCAGACCCTTTCCCCAAGGATGCTGCCATGTGCCAGCTGGCTCCTTGCAAAGTATAGACATGGGTGACTTCTTTCCTCAGAGGGAAGAGAAGGTAATGGAGATGCACCTACCAGGGAGTTGGCTCCCCCCCTGCCCAGATAAGAGGTTTACCAACAAGTCTACTCAGACTTGTCAGTC